CCCATGGTTGTCAAACTCGCGAGTCAACTCGTAGAATCGGACGAGTTTACGAGTCTAGGGGAGCAAAACGGGTTAACTCGCTTGTAGAATCGTTCTCGGGTAGACTCGGGTAGACTCGGTCAGAATCGCGAGTCTAGCCCGAGTCCACGAGTCTGGTGGCTTTTTTTTTTTGACCCCTAAATGGCCCAAAAACGACGTCGTTTTGCCTAGGTCAGTAAGTGAAAAAATGTTTCTTCCCTGCGCGCGCGAGCTGCTCCACCATTTGCACGTTTCTGAGTCTCCCTCCGCAGCTAAACCCTAAACAGCCATCTCCGCCGCAGCTACGAACGGAACGCATCTTGCTGGGACGGACGCGAGTCTCCCTCCGCAGCTAAACTCTAATCGCCCCTCTACGAACCGCGAGCGTCTCAGCCACTACGAGGGCTCCTCTCCGCCGCTACGAACGGCGCCGCATCTTGCTGGGACGGACGCGAGTCTCCCTCCGCCGCATCTCTGCCGCATCTCCGCCGCATCTCTGCCGCCGCCAAAATCGCTTTCCGTCATTGCAGCTTCCACTCTTCCAGCGTCGTGACTCGTGAGTGTTACTTCTCTGCTGCATCTTGTTGGTGTTATTCACAATTTTCATATACTTAGTCTCTTACTCGGTTACTCCTATAATTGCAAGATGTCTGAAACCGGTGGTGGCTCAAAGTCTTCAAGCAATGCAGTTTCTTCTTCCAGAGGAAGGAAAAATGCCCCTGGAAATAGGACTGACATGGGTTGGAAGCATGGGACAGATGTTCTAGGCAATGGAAAAAAGGTGAAGTGCAACTATTGCACAAAAACTATCAGTGGGGGGATTTTTAGATTTAAGCGTCACCTTGCTGGTACTAGAGAAGATTCTGAACCATGTGCAATGGTACCGGAAGAAGTTAAAATTCTAATGATGAAAATTGTTGCGGAGGCTAAAGAGACATCAATGAGGAAAAAGAGATTGGTTGATATTGATGAGGAAGATGACATAGAGAAAGAGATGGAGATGAGGGCTTTGACAAAAGGAAAAGGAGTTGGTGGTTCTGGAGTTCAAATAACATTAAACCAAATGATGAAAAAAGACTACAAGGACCAAGTTGATCAACAAGTTGCAAGGTATTTTTACACAAGTGTCATTCCCTTCAATTCCATTAAAAATGTAGAGTTTATAAAGATGTGTGAGATGATTGGGAGATATGGAATTGGTTATAAACCCCCTTCTTATCATGATGTGAGGGAGAAGCTTTTGAAACAAGCTGTGATTGAAACTGATTCAATGCTTGAAGAGTTTAAGAAGGAATGGAAGAGGACTGGTTGTTCAATCATGTCTGATGGATGGACAGATAAGAAGAGGCGATCAATTTGTAACTTTTTGATCAATAGTCCTAAGGGGACAGTCTTCCTATATTCATTAGACACATCTGACATCTCTAAAACAGCTGATAAAGTTTTTAAAATGTTGGATGATGTTGTCAATTATGTAGGAGAAGAGAATGTTGTCCAAGTTGTGACAGACAATGCTGCAAATTACAAGGCAGCAGGTGAAATGTTAATGCAGACACGGAAGAATTTGTATTGGACTCCATGTGCTGCTCACTGTATTGATTTGATTTTTGAGGATTTTGAGAAGAAGCTAAAGGTTCATGAAGTGACTATCAAGAAAGGAAGAAAGATTACCACCTACATATACTCTAGAACAATGCTCATTAGCATGTTGAAGAAGTTCACTAAGGGGAGGGACTTGGTTAGGCCTGGTATAACTAGATTTGCTACTGCTTATTTAACTCTATCTTGTCTCAATGATAATAAAGCATCATTGATGTGTATGTTTAGTTCAAATGAGTGGAAATCAAGTAAGTTTTCCTCTACACCGGAGGGAAGAAAGGTGGAAGGCATGGCTTTAGATAGTCGTCTATGGAAGAACATAATCATATGTCTCAAAGCCGTTGTTCCTCTTATGACTGTCCTTCGCTTGGTGGATTCTGATGAAAAACCTGCCATGGGTTTTATATATGATGGGATGGATTGTGCCAAGGAAAAGATAAAAATCAACTTCGGCAATGTTAAGAAAAGGTAAACTTTTCTTAGTTCTAAACTATATTTCTATTGAAATTTAATGATCTTATTTAGTAAATTAGTATAGTTATGTACTGATGTTTCTAGTATATGATAATGGCAATATTCCTAACTTGCATTTATTTCATATTTATAGTTATGAACCTGTATGGAATATTATTGATGAAAGGTGGGATAAACAACTCCATAGACCCTTACATGCAGCTGCATATTACCTCAATCCCCATTTCCATTATGACCCTAATTTTAGAGATGATGATGTTGAGGTTAAACAAGGGTTATACAATTGTATGACAAGGTTGGTGAGTGACTTGAATGAGAGGAGCAAGATTGGTACGCAACTTGCTGAATTTCATTATGCTAGAGGGTTGTTTGGTCTTGATACTGCAGTGGCTAGTAGGAAGATTATGCTTCCTGCAGAATGGTGGGACTTCTATGGGGATGGATGTCCAGAGTTAAAGAAGTTTGCAATCCGTGTACTAAGCTTAACTTGTAGCTCTTCTGGATGTGAGCGTAACTGGAGTTCATTTGAAATGGTAATTGAATTAATGTCTTTGTTTTTAGTTGTTAATTTTTAATGTTTAGAAATTAGAGTTTTAGCCTTATAGGTAATCTTGAAATTTTGGTTTTTGTGTTCTATTTTCTAGGTTCATACAAAGAGAAGAAATCGCTTGCACCAAAGGAAGATGAATGATTTGGTTTATGTGATGTATAACTTGAAGCTAAAGAGTAAACAAGTGAAAAGAAATCTTGTTATTCCTTTTGATGAACTTCATTCTGATGATGAGTGGATAACTGAGGAAGGAGATGCTATTTTTAATGGAGAGGATGTCCAACCACCACTTAGGGATGAAAATGAAAATGTGGATGATGGTGGAAATGTTGAACTAGTTGGAGATTCAACCAATCCAACTTTAAATGACCTTGAGGATTTGGTCTTTGATGATGTGAATATTGAAGAACCCTTATCATCAGATGAAGAGGATGAGCTTGAAGAAAATGAAGATGATGATGATGCACATGCATTTGTTGGAGGATTGGACTTTGATTGATTAATTTAGATCTTGTTTTATGTTTTTGATTTGTGGACTTATGTGTTTTCGACTTTTGGTTGTTTATGTATGGTTAAGATTTGTATTATGACATTTTATTGTTGTTATTTGACTTATTTTAGACTTAGAATGTTGAAATAGTGATATCATATTGTGTGCGTTCATGTTTTTTAATATATTTTAATACTAGGTAGACTCTTACGAGTCTACGAGTCGAGTCTACCAGAGCTCCACGAGTTTGTGTAGACTCTCGAGTTTGACAACCTTGCTCAAACCTCAACCTGACACATTTCATACAGCATCGTAGGAAAATTACAAAATTGCAGAAAACATTATTCATACTTACTGTTATTGCAATAGGGTATCCCACTGCCACATCTTTTGAACCTTCTGGAGCAAGTATCTTGGCCAGGTACCTAGTACCGACCACCCCATTCAGATAAAAATTAGTCAGGAAGAAGGAGGAGTGCAAATAAAGCTCATCTGCAAAATAAATCAACTAGAATGCTGGCATTGTACTAAAAAATTGGGTCAGAAATTTGAGATCAATAAATAGTAAGATTATAAAACAAAAAAGATTGCAACCTACCACAAATTGAGACAATAAAAGACACCATTCTCAGGTGTTACTTCTAGAGTTCTAGTGGAACTTTAATGCCCAATGGAAACTAATCAGTACTAGTCATGTCTATAAACACTTCAGTAAGACATCAGACATGTAATGAATATGATTCCTAATCACATGACATGGCCAAAGTCTTTGCATCATTCAAAAAATAGTTAGGATGAAACATCATGGCCAAATAATTCTTTGTCTGGCAATAACTCTGTTGCAATGTAGATAGTAGACTAAGGAAAAGACTGTTACCCCTCTTCAAGAGTTTCAAATTCAAGTGTAGCTTTGTCTGTCTCTATCTCACATAATATGTCACCCACTTCAATCTATTAGATAAATTAGATGTCATTCCATATCAGACAAAAAAAAGGGCATTAATGACTCACTTTGTTCATATTTTAAAATAATAAAAATTTTATGAAAATTGTATTTATTATAACCTTAGGTTAAAACATAACTAACCTTGTCTCCTTCCTGCTTCCTCCATTTAGCAATGTTTCCTTGGTTCTGTGCAGTACAAAAGAAAAAAGAAAAAAATGAATGCCTCCATGGAAGGAAAGAAAATTTATGTCAGTAAGCAATAGTTATAATGAATAGCATCTCTCACCATTGTAGGTGACAAAGCTGGCATTTCAAGAAGGATATGAGGTGGAAGTTCTGATGCATTAATCATAGTAGAAGTTGATTCTGGTTTGCTCTCATCTTTAACATCCTGATGTGTTGGTTTCTTCTCTTCAACCCCGGTCTCACCCCCCACGGAAGCAGGAACATTTTGGATGTCCTTTTCATCCTCAACCTAGTCAATTCCCATATATAGAGCTTACATTAATCAAATATTCAAAATTCAGAAATTAATTGAATTCCACAAATTAACAGTTTAAAATTAAAAGTTAATGACTGTCAAAAAAAAATAATAGTTAATGCTTATATATGATTTACCAAAACCACAACATTTAAATTGTATATTTTTTAAATGGAACATTGGAAACTGAAAACTGAAATAAACTTCTTATGTCCAATTTGCAAGTAAATTTCATTATGTTATTTAAGCCATTAATAGTGCGTGTAACATTTTTTTATTAAATTGGTGCAAAGAGCTAAAGGCAAATAATGTTTTAGATCGTGTGAGGCAAAGGATAAATTGAGAAGTTTCTAAGAGCAATAGCACCTTAGAAATCAGAAAAGCACAAATTTGGACATGCAAGGAAAACAATTATGAAAGACATTATTATAAAAGAGATGAAATACATCCGATGGGCCTAAGAAATCCTGAAGGAAAAAGAATTACAAATTAGTTTGTCCATAAAAGCTACTTTCATTTGCAAAATGCAATAATGTTGGAAGTTAACATTGTGATGGAATCCATATAAAAGTAAAAGTGCAAGAATTGGAAATTAATGATGGCTTACTGTTATTGCAATTGGTTTTCCAACAGGCACGTCCTTTGAACCTTCAGGTACCAATATCTTAGCCAGAAATCTGTAGCAATAATTCAATTACAACAACAGACATTTTATTGGTGCACTAAAATTTACATGCCTCATATGATCTACACTCATCAGTCAAGTACATTAAACCCTCAAAAAATATTGAAGGCCAAAATGCACAACAAATTAACAATGAGAGAAAAAAACTAAGATAAATAACTTGTACACTTCTTGGTCTAAAATGGACATTTATGCATTAGACATGCATAAAAAGATAGAAGACAGCTAAGTGGAGAAACAATTAACGACTACAACAACTCATGGGGTGGTTTCTCCATATTTACTGTTAAGGATTAACTGAGTATTGTGTTTGACAGCTACCAAAGTAAAGAAAATTTTCTTGGTTTCTTCCTCCTATAAAATGTAAAGTTTTATCTGACAGTGGTTTCAGAGCACCAAGTTATCTTTTTAAACTTTGACCTTCACCATTTTCATAAAGTGCACGTGTAGCTATCAGCAGTTAGTAGGGCAGAGTTCAAGCTGTGTTTATACTCCAATAGGCTTCGACTGAAAGTGTATACTAAAATTATTAAGGACATTATTGGTCCCCCTAATAGTGCATTTGAGACACATATTTCAATGCATTAATTTGGGATGATTTGGCATTTAATAGTGTAAATAATTGATATACTAGATGTGATTTGTATTAGTGGGTTTAGTTAGTGATGATTGAAAATTCTTATTAGTTTTCGCAATTTGACCTACTTTTACACTCTGTTTTTATGCATGCCATATTTGGAGATCTCAACATCAGATTTGCACATTCTTGATGTCATTGGAAAGATAAGAGAGAGTTCTACAACTTCTTTGGGACCAAAGGCCAGTTCTGATGTTAAGTGACCCAAAATGCATTGCAAAGTTGTGGTCCTGCACAGTATTTTCTTTATATTTTTATCATGTAATGTTAAGATTTGTTTAGTGATGTAATTCGTTGATTTAGTAGGTTGAGCCTTTAATTACTCTGATTAGGCCCACTAGTGTAGTCCATAAATAAGTGTTACACATGTACATTTAATATAATATACCTCATTTTTTAGAAATTGAATTTCTTCTCTTAGAAATCTCTCAAAATTCTCTCTCTCTCTCCCCCTCCCGAAATTCTCTCTTTCGTTTCTCTTTCTCTGTCCGAATTTTATGCTTTGTTCTACACTACACAAATTTTTGTAGCATCTTGATGAAGTTGTTCGGCTAAATTCATTCTACCGATTCAAAAATTCAATAGTTATGGTAACTTTTCTTCTATCCGAATTTTAATTTCATTTTCTGTTTTTAAATATGAATATCTTAAAACAGTGAATTATATTCAATTCGGATTGAATTTCACAGAGAATTGCAAATTGCGATTGCATTTGCATTTTCGGTAAAATTTCATAAAATACAATTGTGTTCTTCGTTTCTTTGTTCAAATTAGTTTTCAAATGGTGAAATTCAGATTATTCTTTGAAACTGCAACGATTATATTCTTGAATTGGTATTTCTCCAATTGGAATTCAATTTTATTTTGTAATTTTCATACATTTTAGCGCTGCATTTAAAATGTTTGTTAAAAATCTCCTTGCTAATTTGTATTGTAAAATTCGTGTTTAATGATTTGTTTCTCTAGATTCTGACCTAGGGTTCCCTATATTGCAAAATTTAAGGGAAAACTAGTTTAATTTGATAGCATATCAACAGCGCTCAACACCCCCCCCCCCC